GATTTGTAACCACTACGCTACCAGAGCTCCTTATGTATGTATAGTGAGCAAATTTGAGAACTTGGTATCAGGATTGGAGGAAGACTTATTAACAACCTTTGATATGCAGATGATATATACAACCTTGCCTGCTGAAATCAAAGAGGACTCAAAAGATCAAATACCATGACTTTGGTATGGGTTATACCTCAATGAAAGAAAAGAAAACTCCTCACCACCAGGGCAGTAAATAACATCACGATAAACAGAGACATAATTGAAGTTGTCAAAGATTTCATTTTGCTTGCACCCAACACAACACTCATGGAAACAGCAATCAAGAAATCAAAGGATGTATTACATTAGACAAATCTGTTGCACAAGACCTTCTAAAAGTGTTAAAGAGCAAAGATGTCAGTTGGAGGACTAAGGTATGCCTGACCCAAGCTATGGTATTTTCAATAGCCTAAATTCATGTGAAAGGTGGACAATGAATAAAGAAGACCACAGAAGAATTTATACATTTGAGTTATGGTGATGGAAAAGAATATTAAAAGAACCATGGACTTCCAAAAGAACAAACCCATCTGTGTTGGAAGAAATACAGCCAAAGTACTCATCAGATGTATGAGTTTACTATGCAGGGAATGACAAATTGAAGAGGAATGGTGTTTCATTCATCGTCAAAAAGAACATATCCAGATCAGTCATGAGGTACAATGCTGTAAGTGATAGGATAATATCCATGTGCCTACTGGGATAATATCCATGTGCCTACTGAATGTTTTAAAATTGGGAAAGGTGAGAGACAGGGTTGTATTCTTTCACTATACTTATTCAACCTGTATGCTGAGCAAATAATACGAGAAGCTGGGTTCTATGAAGAAAAACGTGACATCAGGATTGGAGGAAGACTCATTAACAACCTGCGATATGCAGATGATATAACCTAGATCGCTGAAAGTGAAGAGGACTTTAAACATTTACTGATGAAGATCAAAGAGCACAGCCTTTGGTATGAATTACATCTCAATGTCAAGAAAACAAAAATCCTCACCACTGGACCAATAAACAACATTCTTATCAATGGAGAAAAGATTGAAGTTGTCAAGGACTTCATTCTTCTTGGATCAACTATCAACACTCGCGGAAGCAGCAGTCAAGAGATCAGACGACATATTTTATTAGGCAAATATGCTGCACAGGAACTTTTTAAAGTGTTGAAGAGCAGAGATGTCAGCTTGAGGACTAAGGTGCACCTGACCCATGCCATGGTATTTTCAATAGCCTCATATGGATGCGAAAGCTGGACAGTGAATAAGGAAGATCGTAGAAGAATTGATGCCTTTGAATTGTGGTGTTAGGGGAGAATACTAAAAGTGCCATGGACTGCCAAAAGAACCAATAGATCTGTTTTGGAAGAAGTGCAGCCAGAGTGCTCCTTGGAGGCCAGGATGGCTAAGCTTCGTCTCTCATACTTTGGACATATTGTCAGGAGGGAACAGTCACTGGAGAAGGATATCATTCTTGGTAAGATGGAGGGTCAGAAGAAGACCCCCAATGAGATGGATCAGCCAGGTGGCATCATTGATGGACTCAAGTGTGGCAGCGGTAGTGAGGTTGGCCCAGGATCGGACATTGTTTCGTTCTGCTGTACATGGGGTCGCTATGAGTCGGTTCCGACTCAATGGCAGCTGACAACAACAACAACTCATCAGATGCAAGGATGGCCACACTTCGTCTCCTATACTTTGGACATATTATCAGGAGGGACCAGTCACTGGAGAAAGTTAACATGCTCGGTAAAGTGGAGGGTCAGCACAAAAGGGGAAGACTTACACTGAGACAGATTGGCACAGTGGCAGCAGCAGTGGGCTCAAGCATTAACAATGATAGTGAGGTTGGAGCAGGGCAGGCAATGCTTCATTCTATGGAGCATAAGGTCACTATGAGTTGAAACTGACTTGACGGGACCTGAAAACAACAATAGCTCCCCACCTCAGAGGACGGTTGTGAAGAGAGAATGAGCAAATACATGGGACAGTGCTTAGAACACTGCCTAGCATAAAGTAAGCACTATCTTCAGATCGGTGAGCGTATCATCATTGCTATTATGAATGACAAGCTACCCTGATGGTGTAGTGGGTTAAGCATTGGCCTGCTAACCAAAACGTTGGTGGTTTGAACTCACTAGTTGTTCTACAGGAGAACAAAGAGGCCGTCTGCTTCTGTAAAAGTTTCACAGCCTTGGAAACCCTCTGTGGGGGAGTTCTACTCTGTCCTATAAAGTCTCTCTCTATGAGCTGAAATTGACCTGACAACACTGGGTATGAATATCACCAATGAGACTTTCCCTGTCAGAGGTGAGAAGGTTCGTAGGTTTCTTATCAAATGAAAGAAAAACGGAAGAAAAAAATGAATGTCCAAACATTGATAACTGTATTTTCATGAGAATGTCATAATCGGAACACTGTTAAATTTGCAAAATTTGATCCCTAGTAACAGTTGTCCTGGGTTTCCAGGATTGTAACCCTTACATAACCAGAACGCCACATCTTTCTCCTGCAGAATGGCTGGTGGGTTGGAACTGCCGACCTTTCCGTGAGCAGCCAAGTGCTTAATCACTGTGCCACCAGAATGCCTTATGTTAACATTTAGAAAAATTTAAAGTTTAAACTTGGAAATTGGAGTCCTGGTGGTGCTGTGGGCTAAGCACTGGACTGCAAGGTCAGCAGTTCAAACCTACCAGTCGCTCCTTGGAAACCCTACACAGAGTCCATATGAATTGGAATCTGCATTTAACAAGCAATCTGGTTGGTAAATAAAATCAGACTTTTAAAATTTATCCCAAAAAGCAGTGATGATGAGGAAAGTAAACCTTAGAGCATAAAACAAAGATGGGAAGAATTAAGGTTGGATTGTGAACTCTGAAATATTCCATCAGGGGTTTTACTGGTTAAAAAACTGTGTCCTTGAAAAGAAAGAAAAATCCATTCTGGCTAGCATTTAGTGAGCACTTATTGTGTAGCAGACACTGCACTGGATAGATTTGTAATTAATTCATTTAATCCTCACATGAGAACTAGTAACCATAAGTATCTCCATTATGTTGTGATTGCTGGGTGGTTTTGAGGTGGTTTTGATTCATAACGGCCCTATGTGACATAGAGGAGTTGTCTTACAGGGTTTTCTAAGCTGTAAAATACAGTGTGGAGGCTCTGTAGGATAAAACACTAGACTGCAAACCACAAGATCGGTGGTTCAAGCCCATTAGACCTCTGAGGGAAAAAGATAAGGCTTTCTGCTCCTGCAAAGATTTACAGTCTTTATAGGATTGCTATGAGTTGGAACCAACTTGACAACACTTAACAACAACAGTGTTTATAGGAGCTGATCACCAGGTCTTTCTTCCACAGAGTTGCCAGTAGGTTTGAACCAACAAGCTTTTTTTTTTTTAGCAGCTGAGCATTTAACCACTGCATCACCAGAACTCCTAATTTCCACTGTACAGATGAGAAAACACAAACACAGAACAGAAAATGCTTACCTGACAAAAATGAATAATCATGGATTTGTTCAAGAACTGCCAGAGGTTTTGTTTTTGTATTTTTAAGAAGAGAGATGGAGTCCAAAACATTCATTAACAGGCCCCCCCAAAAAAATTTAAGTCCACCAGAGTAAAAATAATGAGATGAAAAAATCCTTAGTCACGATGTTCTCCTTCCACTATGTTTGAAGGGTCAAAAATGATGAGAAGATTAAAACAACAAAGTCAAATCAACCAGTTTGGGGTGGGTGGCCGATAAACTACAAGGTAGAAATGACCTTCAGACAAAAATGCCCATTATGTAAAAACATCAGAGCAAAAAAACCACTCCACTGCTGTAAAACAAGTATTAGAACCTGATCCCCTACCTCACACCATACACATAGACGTACAAGAAGAAACTATTTTCATGATCTTGGGACCTGCAGAGGTTTGGTAAACAGAATACAAAAAGCATTAACCATTTTTTTAAAAGATAGGGTCTAAATAGCTAAAAGGTTTTTTTGTTGTTGTTTTTTAAAGTTGAGACATCCAGATCAGTCTGGCTGTCAAATTGATTGTCTTGAGTTGAAACTGACGGGTGGGCAATATTCTGTGGCTGCTGGTGAGCCAGGTGGGGTGCGGCCATGCTCACCTGGAAGACCTCAGCGCTAGTCTTCTCGTGACGGCGTCCCAGCTCCTCCAGCTGCCCCTCCAGCCGAGCCACGTCAGCTTGCAGCACGCCCACCACTCGCTCGTGCTCTGAGCGTGCCACGCTGCCCACACGCTCACGGTCCAGCTCTGCCCGGAGTCGGGCCGCCTCCTTGCCCGTGACCACCACCTCCTGCTCCAGGTTGGCTGCCCGGCCCCGCAGCTCCAGGGCCTCCTCCTGAAGCCGATGGTGGTCCGAGGCCGGCACTGAGGACTGGCGGAGGGCCTCGGAGGCCTCACGCAGCTCTGCCAGGCTCCGTCGGGCCTCCTCACAAGCTGCGGCCAGTTCAGTGGCCTGAGCCTCCGCCGTGGCCCTGGCCTGGCCCAGTTCAGCGGCCACTGCTCGCTGCTGCTCCTCAGAGGCCTTGGCGCTGGCCAGTTGCTCCCGTAGCACCTGCAGCTCTCGGCTCTGCTCCAGCCGCACCTCCTCCTTCTGGGCCAGCTCTGCTCGCAGACCCCTGGCCTCTTCCTCCGCCAGCAACTGGCTGGCTCGGGACTCATCCAGCCTGGCCGAGGCTGCCTCCAGCTCCCGGAGGCGTGAGTCCCGGTCCCGGAGGTCTTCCCGGGCCTGCTCCAGGGCCGCCCGCAGCTGAACCGTGTTGCCCCCACTGCTCTCCTGGCCCCCGGTGCCCTCGGCCTCGCGCATCTGCTCCCGCAGGCGTCCGGCCTCGGCTTCGGCGGCCTCACACTTGTCACGGGCCGCTTCCAGCTCAGCGGCAGCCTCCCGCTCCCGCTGCCGGAGAGCCTCCTCCAGGCCACGGATCCTGGTCTCTAGCTCTGCTTGTAGTTTCTCGGAGGCCTCGGCTGCACCCGGATGTAGGATGGGGCCAGTAGGAGCTCTCAGAACAGTGGTCTCCTCCCCAGTGGCCTTTGTCCCTGTGAGCTCTGCCTCCATGGCACCCACTCCATTGACCTTCACCTGAGATTCTCCCGCTTTCATGCCCGTGGCCTTGGTGTCTGTGGCTTCTGTTTCTGTGGCTTCTGTTTCCGTGGCCTCGGCTTCCGTGGCCTGGGTCTCAATGACTTTTGCCTTGTCTGGAGCCTTCACTTCTGTGGCCCCAGCCACTGTAGCTACCTTTGTTTCCACGACTACAACTCCTGAGGCCTCTGTTTCTGTGGTTTGGGCCCAGGTGGGCACTGCTTCCAAAGCCCTGTCCGCCATAGTTTCATCCCCTGAAGCTTCCTCGTCTGTGGTCTTGGCTCCGTTCACTTTGGATTCCAGCACTGAGTCGCCATTCAGCTCCACGTCTGTTGGCCCGTTTGTAGTGGTCTTGGCTCCTTGACCCGTGCCTGACCCTGTGGCCCCGTCACCCTCTCCAGAGGTCTCCTGGGTGCCCCGCTGCTCCAATGCCCGCAAGGCCTCAGTGTGTTGCCTTTGGAGCTGGTCAAAGTTGGCCTGGAGAGTCTCATAGAAAGCCAGAGGGATGACCTCTGCTGAGCCACTGGTCTCCACCTCATCCTTCTCAAAGTTCTCCAGGATCTGCAGGGGAGAAGGGAGCAGCCGGGCAGTGACTCACAGACTCGGCCACATGCTCACCCCAAGCCCAGGGACCAAACCCTCAGGTGGTTAAGAGCTCCCATGCCTCGGTTTCCCCACCTGAACTTTCTCCATCAATTCCTGGTTCTGCTTGGTGAGCGTGGCCACCTGGTCCTGCAGTGAGACCAGGAACTCCTGGACCGATGCACTCAGCCGCTTGGATAACAGTGCCTCAGTCCCTGAGGGTGGGGGGCACACAGTCAGGCCCCAGGACACCTGAGGGACAGGGCTGGGGGTCTCAGTGGTGGCTCCAGGGCAGGCCCAGGCAATGGAATAAATAGCAAGTAAATGGAACCCTTCTGCTCTGCTTCAACTGTGGGCTCAGAACTGCCTCCCGGGACCCAGAACAAGGGGTAAGGGGAGATGGGGTGGGCTCACCTGGGGAGTCAGGCAGCACCCCCTCCTCATCCTGCAGGGTGGGCACATCATAGCTCGTATTCTCTCGTTCATTCTGGGTGGGGGTGGGGAGACAGAGCCTGGCTTCGGGTCCTGTCCCCTCTGTTTGTGGGTGTACTGTCTGTGTGTTTGAGTATGCCTGTCTGTTGTGTGTGTGTGTTTGTGTGTGTGAGATTACATGTGTGTATGAATGTGGTCGTTAACCTCAGTGTGTCCCAAAGTGTGTGACTGTGCGTATGGCAAAGTGTTTGTTGTATGCATGGATTTGTGGGTGTGCTATGTGTGTGTTTGCGTGTGCACGAGACCATGTGGTATTAGTGTGATTGGCAGGTCCCTGTCTGGGCCCCCTCCTGCCTGCCATCCACAGCCCCCCTGTTCTACCTGGGCCCCATGCCTGTGGGTCCCCCTGGCCCACCTCCAGCAGGGATAGGCGGCTCTGCAAACTCTCCACCTCTCGCCCCAAGCTCTCCTTCTCCTCCTGTTTCTCTGCCAGCAGCTGTCGCAGCTCCTGCACCTAAAGAGGTGAGGGTCTCAGCTGGCCTCTGGGGGGGGGGGTCCCCAAGGAGGACTCACTGGGCAGCTTGAAGGCCTGCTCTTCCCACCTCCCCACCTACCTGTCTCTCCAGGCTGTGGAGGGAGCTGGCCTCAGGCTCCTATAAGTGACGAGGAGAGGGATGAGGGCTAGATTCTGGTTTGGGGGTGTGCCCACTGAGCCCCACAGGGCTCCACCCACTCACTCGGTCCATGAGGATTTATTGAGTGCCTATGGTGTACCACATTATTCTGCCCACTCATTACCAAGTATTTACTGAGTGCCTACTGTGTGCCAGACACTATTCATTACCAAGTCCAGCACTAACTCAGCATTCATGGCTTCTGTATGTGCCAACTTGCCTACTTAATAAAATGTATCTGTAAACCCAAATCTATACTCCAGGGGGCACTGCGGTCACTTGCGGGCATGATCACATGCAGGGTAGAGAAAATTTTAAGTTGGACATTGGGTATATTCCCAGCTGACGCTGAACAAGGCTGGTCTATTATTTGCTAATTCAGGATTCTCAGGGACTTTATAGAACATCTTGGGTAGGAACCGACTCCACGACACTTAACAACAATAACAAGATGCTACTACATTTATTAAGTGTCCGCTCCTGGGTTTTGCCCACTAATGCATTCGTTCACTCACTCATTCAAACATTCATTCATCCAACATTTTACCAAAGCCCCACTGTGAGCTGGGCACAGTAACCATGAATGCCTTCTTGGGCTTTCAGTCTCATGGGGATTGTATGTCCCATAGTGACAGTACTATGAATAAACATAAAGGGGGCTTGGAAGTGAGGGGGGTTACAATTTAAATTTCAGTGGGCCAGGAGGGTGTCTCTAAGAAGGGCATTTTGAGCAAAGACCTGAAGGAGGGGAGGTAGGAGTCATGCAGGGGTGGGGGCAGGGTGTTCTGGGCAGAGGGAACAGTCTGTGCAAAGGTCCTGGGGCAGGATGGGACCTGGCTAGTTGGATGAGGCCCATGTGGATGGAGCAGAGTGAGTGGGAGAAGAGAGGAAGGAGGGAAGTAGGAAAGGAAGGGGCAATCTTTCCCCCCAGAACTGTATCCTGCTGGGCTGGGCCCTCACCTCCAGCCCCCTCCGTTCCTGATGCTGCTCCAAGCCCCTGATCCTCTGGAGCAGACGGCCCCTCTCCTGACGCAGGCGCACGATCTCTTCGTAGGCATCTTGGTCATCCTGTCCCCCACCCCAAGAACCCACCCCCTTCAAATGAGGCCTGAATGCTGTCCCTGCCCACACCTGCACCATGGTTCCCTCATCCCCGATCTGGGGGATCCCCCATCTCCCACCCACCCTGTCTGGGCATCTCTCACCGGCATAGGGATGCTGGCAGGGGGCTGAGGTGCCTTCCGTTTCTTGGAGGCCCCTGGCCTCTCACGACTGGACACAGAGTTCTGATGGGGTGAAGAGGGACACACAGAGATCTGATGGGGTGAAGGGGGACCTGCCAGCCTCCCATCTGAATAAACCAACCTTGCCAGTCCCAGCTTTATAGTGATTTCCCATGTAACCTTGAGCAAGTCCTTGCCTCTCTCAGCCTCACTTATCCCAGCATAAAAGGAGGCAAGACCATATTCCCTGAATGGTCCAGATCTTATTCTCTATCCTCCACTGCTCTCCTCAGCTGGGCTAGACTGTCTACTGGCTTCCTTTCCCTGTGCAGTTGAAGGGGGCTGCAGAGCTGGGAGAGGGAAATAAACCTCCTCCGGAAAGCCTTCCTTGATTACTCACTCCAGCCCTCACCCACCCATCACTCCAGCCCAGAGTCACAATTTATTGCTGTTTCCCAGTTTCCTCCTTGAGTTCTGGGAGGGAGTCTGTGGGTGCTGCCGCCACCTGGTGACAGCGTACCTTGAAGGCAGCATTGTTTCCAAACAGATCCTCCTAAGTATCATAAACCTAGGGACTGGCTTCATCTTGTCTTTCTCTGCCCACAAGTTTGGATGGAGGGGTAGTGAGTGCAGAGGGAGGGGTATTCATTACCTGTTTAGGTATCCTTACCTGAGATGAGGCCTCGCCTGAGTCACCCTCTGGGAGGGAGAGGAAAGAGGGAAGCAGGGTCAGGCAGTCCCAATGGCAGGGAGGTTATTAATGGGTCCAGGGGACTTATGGGGAAACTCCCAATGTCCCGTCAGGACTTTCATGGTATGAGTCCACTGCCTTTGACAGAATGCTGGTAGGATGGACTTTGTTAGGTGCCATTGAGTCTGTTTTGACTCACAGCAACGAAACACCGCCCTGAGTCACCCTACAATTATTACGTTTCAGTCCATTACTGCTGCCACTGTGTCGATCCACCTCGCTGGGAACCTTCCTCTTTTTTGCTAACCGTCCTCCTTCATACCAAATATGAAACCCTCAGTAAAGGAAAGGACAGAGCATCTCCAGACTGGGGTGCATAGGGGATGCCAATTCTTAGGAAAGACAAAGATGCAGGAATAAGGATGACCCCTTAAAATGGACCCCGCATTACCCTCAGTGACCTGGTACTCCACCTTGAACCTGGTCTGAGTAGGATTAGAGGAGCCATGAACCCTCCTATAATGAGTCAGATACAGGTAGGAGGTACTTTCAAAGTATCTACAAGAGGCAGAAAGGGGCTGGACATGAACTGCCTAGAAGGAGGTAGTAGAGGTGTGTGTGTTTGAAACTGCCTAGAGGTAGAGCCTGCATACCGCTGGGTGGTGAGGGGCGCTGGGCAGCCTCTTGCAGGAGGTGCAGGATGAGTTTGTCTCCCGCGAGTGCGCCGTAGTGAGCCGCGTCCTGGCCGAGAGAGTCAGTGATGCCTGGCTGGGCCCCACCCTGTAGCAGCACTTCCACTGTCTCAGGGCTGGCCCCTTCACAGGCCAGCATCAAGGCTGTCCTACCAGGGGAGGGAGTCACTGAGGGTGGGGGTGAGGACATCCCCAAGCCCCCACACCCTTAATCAGAGAGGTGAAGAGACTTGCCCAAAGTCACACAGCACACAATAGACTGGACAGGAAGAAAGATACTCACCTGCCCTGCAGGTCCCGGTCATTCACAGCAGCACCCTGCTGTAGGAGGAGGCGACACAGATCCGTGTGACACATCTGAGCTGCTATGATGAGGGGTGTTGCCCCTGACTGGTGAGTTAAAAAGGGATGAAATGGGGGCGTGAGAGGCTGACCCTGGGAGGTAGTGACACATATATGGCTGCTCCTGAGCTTCACTGCAAACTTTTTCACATTTTGCAAAGTGCCTGGGATGCCGCCACCAACAAGTTGCTATATCTTTCTCAAAAAGGTCCCAGACGGGATGGTAACTATGGCAATGAAACGATGTATGATAGAATGAATGTACAACGAATGTTCTCCCATGTAAACTATCATACAATTCACGAAAAAAATTTATTTAAAAAAAAAAGATCCCAGAGGCTCACCCGATCACGGGGGTTCAGATGTGCTTTAAAGGAGCAGAGCAATTCTGAGCAGGAAAGGCAGCCTCCAGCCACTGGTGAAAGAGAAAAGGGAAGCAGACAAGTCAAAGTTCAGGTATTTTCTGGGAGACTTCTGCCTCGTCGAGATTCTTATCCTTTGGTATAGGAGAAATCTCTACTTCCCCTGGGAGATCAATAACAAAGGCCTGATACCCATTTTACAGATGAGGAAACTGAGGCCCAGCTAGGCCCTTGGGCACCCAGTGGGGACAGAGGCAGTAATGTTCAGGACCCTGGTCTTCTAATGTCCAGCACCAAGGTCCTTTTATGTTTGACCCTGATTTCCCCTTAAGGTAGAGCTTGAACTGAATTTCATGGACTTTGATCCAACCAGCATTTACTGCGTGCCTAACCAGTTATCATCCAGATGATCCTGACCCATGGCGAACCCATGTGCTGTACCAAGTAGCACTGTACTCCATAGCGTTTTCACAGCTGTGATCTTTCAGAAGCAGATCACCAGAACTTTCTTCTGAGGCACCTCTGAGTGAATTCTACCTAACCATCAACCTTTCAGTTAATAGCACTGTATACCTACTATGTGCCAACCCCTCAATGTTAAGAATGTTAAAAGAATGTTAAGAACCTTTACCAGAGGGATCTGGTCTAAGCTGGGTTGGGCAGCTTTCTCTGGGTTTGGTCTGAGTGCTGCTGCTTTGAGTATGAAAATGGAAGATTGCACTAGGCAGCGGGAACTGTGTGTGCAAAGGCCCTGAGGTAGGAAAGAACATGGTAAGGAAGAGGAAGTATATGTGCCCAGAGCCTTAAGGTTGGAAAGGGACTGGAGGAGTCAGTGGGGCCAGACCTTGCAGGTTACTGAAGGAAGGTAACAGAGAACAACATCATCTATTTATGATTTTAAGAGATACCTCTAGCATTAGGCAATTCTGCTGCACAAAACCTCTTTGTGTCAAGAGCAAAGATGTCACTTCGAGGATTAAGGTGCACCAGATCCAAGCCATGGTATTTTCAGTAGCCTCATACACATGTTAAAGTTGGACAGTGAATAAGGAGTGCCGTAGAAGAATTTGATGCATTTGAGCTATGGTGTTAGAGGAGAATATTAACAATACCATGGACTTCCCGAAGAACAAACAAATCTGTGTTGGAAGACGAACAGCCAGAATGTTCCTTATAAAACCAAGATGGCCAGACTTCATCTCTCATACTTGGGACATATTATCAGGATGGACCAGTCCCTGGACAAAGACAAAATGCTTGGCAAAGAGTCAGTGAAAAAGAGGAAGATCACTAACAAGATGGATTGGCACAGTGGCAACATCAATGGGCTCAAGTATGGCAATGATTGTTAGGAGGGTGCAGGACCCCGCGATGTTCAGTTCTGTTGTGCATAAGGTTGCTATGAATCAGTACCAACTCGACGGCACCTGATGACAAACAACATATTGTGTAAACAGGCTCAAATGAAGGCACAGAGGTTCACCAGGAGTTTGTCCCATCTAGACAAGAGCATGGCATCTGGAATCCCCTGGGTTTGAATCCCAGAATATTGAGATACGATCTGCTTAAACACAAGAATCTACATTTCACTGGAAACGAACTCACTCACATGACTCAGTTTTCAGCCAAACAATAGAGAAGTGAGCAAAGGTCTGCACTCCTTACACCAATCAAGCATATGAGATGGAAAGGGCAGCATTTGCCAGGGAAAAATTTTAGTCAGAAGGATGAACAGAAGTGGAAACACAGGGAGAAAGTGTAAAGAGTGCTGTTACATTGTATGGATTGCAATCAATGTCATGAATCAACACACGTATGAATTGTGGAATGGAAAACCAATTTGCTCTGTAAACTTCCACCCAATCGCAATAAAAAAGTTAAAAAAGAATCTATTCTTTCAATCAACATGCTGTGACTATCTGCTTTGTGACCAAGAGGTCATGGGTTTTTGTTTGCTGCGATATCTCCAGTGCTTAGAACAGGGCTTGGCATCTAGTAGGTATTCCACAAATATTTGTTGAGGGACTGAACTCAAGGGCTCTCATCATGGAAAAAAGGCATTGATGCCACTAGGTGGCAGTGTACTCCAACTACAGAGGACTTTTACATAAGTCACTAAAATACCAAAGCCACCTGAAACCTATCGCTTCCAAAAGATCAGATGTTTCTTGAGTCAGCAATGAAAGTCATGTGAATCTCAAGGACATGATGGACAAACACATGACCTCTCTCACCGGGAATGAATTTGGATTTGACAAAGGACTAGTTGCTCAACCTTTCCATCCCAAGATTCCCTAGGAGTTCCTCAAAGGAATTACAACTCAGGGTCACCCCCACCTTGGCATGCGGACTCAATACACAGTAGACTACACTTTGTGGTCAGTTGGTCTGGGTTCCCTTGTCTGTGACTTGAGGGGACACTGTGAGGATGAATGCTGAGCCCCAGTGTTTTGCAGGTAATAGATGTTCAGTGAAAAAGGAAAAGGAGGCGGCAGGGAGATTCACAACACGTCCCCAGGATCCCAGGTAGAACAAGCCCCAAGCCTGCCCCCCCCCCCCCCCCGGGTTGTGGTGGGCAGGGCAGAACTGGACTGTACCCACCTGCATGGTGGAGAGCTGTCCATCCACTGCTGTCCACAGTGTCCACCAAACATGAGGCCTGGAGAGGGGGCCAGTCAGTGGAGACAGGGCCCATGCCGCCTGGCTGACTGATCTCTCTAGGATACCCCCCTCTAGCTTTGTTGAATTCGGATTCCTTCCTCCCCTCCCACTAGCTGCTTTGTGTAGCCCATGTCCTCGGGGTCCCCAACTGACCCTCTCTGTTTTCAGGGGTGCTAGGGGGGCTCAGAAGCAGTGTGAGGGGGGTTGGAGAGTATCTGAGAGTTCTGGTAGGGGCTGTGGCTAAGGAAGTCAAGAGGGTTTGGGAAGGAACTATCTGGTCTTGGGAGTCTATGTTGGGTGTGGGGAGGATTGGTTGTTCTGGGACTAGCTGGAGCTCGTGAGCAAAAGATCAAGGGATATCTAGGATTCAGGGAGCATCTGGGGCGTTGGGAATGGCTGGGACTCAGGAAGCAGTGTGGTGCCAAGGGAGGATCTGAGACAAGAAAGCAAGTGGCCACCTGGAGCAGTTGCTTCAAACATTGTGGATGTCCGTACTTGGCAGCCAGGTGGAGGGCATTATAACCTGAAGGAGAGAAGACATACTGCAGCGCCACCTGTCGGAAGAAGACATACTGCAGCGCCAGCTGCCGGAAGCCAGCGTCCAATACGGGCCGACTTCATCGTAGTGTGTTTCACTTTAGCAACTTCCGAGATACTGTGGTCTTTGCTTTGTTTTCAAACACACGGGAGGTTTGCGGCCACATCGAGCCATTCTATCGGTGCCATTTTTCCAACAGCCTGTTCTCCCTTCATGCCTCTAGGTCCCACAATGATCAATCTCACATTTCAAAAGTTCCCATCGCACTGCTACACACTTGATAGGACGACAACCAAGGTATCTGCATCGCTTTTATATGCACTGTTGTTGTTGTTAAGTGCCATTGACTCGGTTCCGATTCACAGCAACTCTGTATAGGGTTTCTGGGGAGTGGCTGGTGAGTTTGAAATGCAAGCCTTTTGGTTTGAAGTCCAGTGCTTATCCTACGTGACTTGCTTTATGCCAGTCTTTGCTATTGCCATGCTCTGGAAACCCAACCCACAAGATCTGCCTGTTTTATGATGCATTATCTCCCTGTGTCTGGCAAGTCCTCGAGCCCCAAGTGTTTCTCAAAACCTCACTGCTTCCTGTGGCTAGAGATTCTCCAAGCCACAGTCTATGGGCCAGACAATCCCATCTCAAGCCCTATTGCCTCAGTTGCTCTCCATGTCCCCAGTTATACTTCATAGACCCAACTATGCCCAAGGCCCAGTTACCCAGCACAACCCACACTTGGTCTGTTGGCCTCTGCTAAAGCACTTGTATGGCTAAGCTCAGTGCTGGGAGTTCAACCCCAGCAGCCAGTCCTTGGAAACCCTATATAGGGTTGCTATGAGTTGGATGCAAATTGAAGACACCAACAACAACAACAACAACAAATCTGTAAACAAGGAATCCTCGTGGTATAATGAGTTATAAGGTAGCTTGCTAACCACAAAGTCATCAGTTCAAACCCACCAGCTGCTCCCTGGGAGAACAATGAGGCTGTCTGCTCCCATAAAGATTTATAGTCTCAGAAACCCTACTCTGTCCTCCAGGGTTGATGAGTTGGAATCTCTTCATGGCATTGGGGCTTAACCTACATACTCTTGCTCCTGACTACTCCACGGGCCAGCTATATTCCTGTCTTTTGTTGTTGTTGTTAAGAGCTGTCTAGCTGGTTATGACTCCTAGCAACTCCCGTATAGGCTTTCCAAGGAGTGGCTGGTGGGTTTGAACTGCCGACCTTGTGGTTCACAGTCCAGTGCTGATCCTACCGCACCACACCCTGTCTTCAATGGTGGTTATGTGCCGTGGAGTTGGTTCCAATCATAGCGACCCCTGTACAGGGTTTCCAAGGCTGTAAATCTTAATGGGAGCAGAAAGCCTCATCTTTCTCCTGTGGAACCACTGGTAGTTTCCAACTGCTGACCTTGAGGTTAGCAGCCCAACTCGGAACCACTAGCTAACCACTCATAACCAGAACTCCTTCACCCTGCCTTCACTACTTTCTAAATCCCCAGCTCCTCCACGACTCTCTCTCAGCTACATTGCTTCCTACATCTGAGCTTCCTATCTGTCTGTACACATACCTAGCTTCTCCCTGTCTCTTAACAACTCCTTTGGGCTGTTCATTCTATCTCAATGGCCCCCCAGGACACTAGCTGCGTTATACACCCAGATTCTCTTTTCACCTCAGTTACTGCTAGAGCTCTAAACCCAACCCAAACTCGCTGCCGTGGAGTCCATTCAGACTTGAACCCTGGAGGACAGAGGGTTCCTAAAGCTGTTCTCTTCACAAGAGAACAGGTCACAGTTTCCTCCTACAGAGCGACTAGTGGATTCGAACCACCAGCCTTTTGGTTAGCAGTGGAATGCTTAACCACTTCACAACCAAGGCTCCTTTTCCCAGAGCTCTGGTGGTGGTGGTTATATGCCGTGGAGTCGGTTCCAACCCACAGCAACCCTGAACAGGGTTTCCGAGGCTGTAAATCTTTACAGAAGCAGAAAGCCTCATCTTTCTCTCATGGAACAGTTGGTAGTTTTGAACTGCTGACCCTGAAGTTAGCAGCCCGATTCGTAACCACTAGCTCTTGCTACCTTTAAAACCCACTGCTATTGGATCAATTCGGACTCACAGACACCCTAGAAGACAGAGTACAACTTTCCCATAGGGCTTCTGAGACTATAAATCTTTATGGGAGCAGACCGGCTCATCTTTCTCCCGTGGTTTGAACCACTGATCTTGCAGTTGGCAGCCCACTGTACCGCTACCCCTAAACCACAGCTATTCATGCACCTCAGATATCCCCCAAAACATTACCTGTTAGTCTCATCCTCGGGCTAATGCTTCAGCTTCTCCCCCAAACCCCAGGTACTTCCTGGGGTTCTGTACCTTCCCAGATACCAACACCTTCCACATCCCAGATACTCCTTGGTTCACTGTCTCTCCTGTTGTCCCAGCTGTCCCCACCGCCCCAAGGGCTACCCGAGTCACATCCTTGGTCCCAGATCCCAAGTTCGCTCCCAAGCCTCCCAAACCTCCAGAGGCCCAAGCTGCTCTCCTGATCCGGCTCCAGGCCAACTTTGCAGGAGATACCACAATAAAGAGCACATCTCGCTGGCTTCCCAGTGATGTGTACAACAGTACGATGGGAAAAGTCTGCACTGTTGCGAGAATGACCCACCTGGGACCCAGAGACACAACTTGAGCACAGGCTCTGGGGGGAAATGACTCACACTGGTACAGCGAGACCCCTGACTACCTCCTTTGTAAGACTCAATAAAAGGGGGCGTGACAGGGTCTCCTCTGCCTGAGACCTAGTCACACCCCCACAGTTAAGTCCACCCACAAATGGGTGACTCACCTAGCTTGGTGTCGGCCAGGGGCTCTGTCTAGGCAGGTCCCCAAGCCTCCTTGGGCCCCCTGCTTTGTCAGTAGACCAAGCTGGTCCCTCAGGTCCCTGGTCTGTGTTCCTCCCCTGCCCCCTGGGGCCCCGCTGGCCATACCTGCCCCATCAGTGCTCATGACATTGGCCCCCTGAGCCAGCATCACCTCCAGACAGCTGGCTGCGCCCCGCATGGCTGCCAGGTGGAACCTGGAGGTCAGAGGTCAGGGGTCAGCCACAGGGTCACCACCACTCTCCATCATCTGGTTGTGTAGGGAGGGGGTGGGCACTCACGCAGACTTGCCCTCGGGGTCCAGCTTCGTGGGCACCAGCCCTTTGCGGGTGATGAGGGAGGCCACCCTGGCGACGTCACTGTTCTCCACAGCTTGTAGGAGTCTCTCATCACTCTTGCCCCAGTCCTGGCTCTGAGGACACACCCAAAGGCACATGGGTTTGGGTTGGCAGCTGCTCTGTGCCCCCCTTCCCCGGGCAGGGGTTCTGGGCTCTTGGCGCCCACCCTTGGGCACTTGCCTGGCGCCTGCCTCTGGCTGCCGGCTTCGGGATGGGGCAGGGGCCGCAGGGTGGGCAGGAGCCCAGCTCGGTGGGGCTGAGGTGCAGCTGCAGGGGAAGGCAGTCAGGGGCCTGAGACACAGTCCCCAAGCCTGTGCCCCCAGCATCTGCCCCCAGATCTACCACCCCAGCTGTCCATTCCTGGCCAGTCCCAGCATCTCAGCTTATCCCTTAGTGAAAAGCCCCTTTTAACACATTGTCTCTTCAAATTATACTCCAAAGTCTCATTGGAGCCCCTACAAAGGGCCCCTTCCAATGTTCCTCAGAACTCTCGTCTTGCCTGCCATACTTGTCCCCAAAGTCCCAAGACCTGTCCTCCCAAAATTGTATTCTGAAATGCATTCCAAAATCTCTCCTCCAAATTCCTGAAGTGTTCTCCATAATCATCCCCCACAAGATCTGCCCCCAGAAATATCCTCCACAGAGGGTGGCTGAAATTATTCTCCAAATGTCAATCTCTGTTCCCAAAAACTGTGCCCCAAAATGTCCTTCAATATCTGTTCCCCAAAGGACCCCATCTGTCTCTAAAACTGTCTCCCAACGTCCTCTAAATTCGCCTAAATTTCTCCATCTGTCTTTAAAATTTCTGCCCATATATCTCCATGTGTTCACCAAATGTCCTGCCTAGACCCCCAAGTTGCCCCAACCTCTGCCCCTCCTCCTACTAAATACCTATCCTTCCCATGCTGGGAGGTTAGGCCCAGGAGGGGCGGGGAGGAGGCCCTGAGCCCACCCCCTTCCTGCGCCCCTCCCCAGACCTACCGTGAAGGATGTGGCGGAGCATAGGCATAACTGCTTCATGGCGGCAGGGCGGCTGGGCCGCGGGGCCGAAGGGCGGTTGTACTCGGCCGCCGCCTGTCCAGCCGCAGGTCCCGCCCCCGCCCCGCCCATGCCCCACCCGGAGGCCCCACCCCCAGGGGCCGGGGGATCCGGGTTGGGGGCGGCCTGGGCTCATTCTCATCTCGATGGGGCCGGCTTGTTCACCCCACAAGCTGCTGCTGCCCGACCGACCTCCAGGGGACGGACCCGCCTGCGTCCATTTCTGCCTCGTTTAGCAGGCCAGCCAGACAGGTGTCTCCCGACCTGGGGCCAAGACCCACCGGCAGCTCACTGCCGCTTGAGCAGCTGGAGTTTCCCTCGCTTAATCATTCATTCATTCACTCGTCCACCTGCTATTCATTCATTCACTCATCCACCCAGCTAGTCATTCATTCACTCACTCATTCATTCACTTGTTCACTCATCAACTAATTCATTCCTAATTCATCCATTAATTCATTCGATTATCATCCACTCTCATTCATTCATTCACCTACTCACACATTGTTTCATTTTTTGCCCCGATTCATTCATCCACTCACTCATCCCCAAGTGGGATTGTATGAATTTGAATCCAGGCTTTCCACCCCGACTCCCACCCATGACCTGCATTTCCTACCTATATGACTACACAAGATACTTACTTGGTTTGGACTTCACTTTTCTCATCTGTGAAATGGGTTCCATAGCCTTACCTACCACACAGGGCTAAACCCATTGCCATCAAGTGGATCCTGACTCTAAAAAAATGCTTGATAAGATGACTCAGAGACCCAGGGACCAGCTGTGGGGGTCCAGGGTGGGGTAGGGGGGCCTTCATACCTAAGGATGAGGCAGAGGAAGTGGAGGAGAGACATCCCAAGGGTGTGTGTGTGTGTGGCATCAGTGGAGCCAGATTGATAGAAGGAGAGGTGGGTTCCAAATGGAAGAATAGCATGCGCGTAGCAGCAAATGTATCAAGGGGAGGAGCCAGCAGGAGCTGCAGAGGGGAGAAGGGGTGAGTGAAGAGACAAGGTCTTCCAGAACCTGAATGTAGACAGGTGGGCAGGGTCTGAGTCCAGCAAAATCATTTTTTATCCTCTTGAGCCCTGATTGTGCAGTGGTTAAAATGCTCGACTGCCAACCATAGGTCTGTGGTTCAAATCCATCAGTCACTGCTGGGATGACAATGTGGCAGTTTGCTCCTGTAAAGGTGACGTCCTACGGGGTCACCATGAGTCAGAATTGACTACATAGCACCAGGTTTGGGGTTTTTGGTTTGGGTGTGACCTTAAGCTGGTCACTACACCTCTCTGGGCCTCAATTTCCTCTATTGCAAATGATAATACTGAAACCCTAACACAGGCTTTATCCCCCTCCCCACCTCCACACCCATTGTGGATATGGGACCAATTCTTCTCTGGGATGGGGTGGACCTGTGTTATGTTCTCAGACCTCATCTGGGTTGAGGACCCTGGGTTAGGGGGTTTTACTGACTCCCAAGAGGCTCTGCGTCCATCATCATCTGGCCTCTTGTCATAGGACGCTGCCCACATTGAAATCCACACACTAAGTGAGGAAGGAAATCCCAGGAGCTAGAGGGTCCCCCCGATTAACACCATCAAACCCCTTAGGAATTAATTCTATGGGGTGCAGGGATTGAACTCAAATTTTTCCAAATGATGAGCACAGAATTTCTCATTACTGACACTGAGACTGGGTACTTCTCTGAGGTGGGGCCGTCCCTTGCGCTATAGAGTGTTGAGCAGCATCCCTGGTCTCCACTCCTTCAATCCATGTCAGTTGCACCTTACCTTTGCCCCGCCCCCTCTAGTCCTGACATCCACAAATATCACCAAATGTACCCTGGGGGCAGAATTGCCCTGGTTGGCAATCACTGCTTTAGGGTATCATGAGAATTCCACAGTGAACCTCATCAGCATGGCCTGGGATTAATTCAAAAGGTGCCTTTGAGCAACAGGAAGGAATCCTGGTGGTGCTTAGGATAAGCACTGGACTACTAACTGCAAGGTCAGTAGTTAAAATCCACCAGTCACTTCTCAGGAGAAAGAGGAGACATTAAGCTCCCGTAAAGATTTAAGCCTTGGAAACCCTATATAGCATCACTTGGAATAAACTTATTGGCAGTGGGTTGGTTGAGGGGGCAGGGGACTAGCAGGGAAGAGGAGCTTTTGGTGATAGGCAGTTAGAGGAGATCCTGAGGGCTCCCTCTCTCCTCTGTACTCAGAGGGAGGCGGGGTGACTTGCTCCATCTTCTCCAGAGAGGGGACTGAAATAGATCTTGAGGCTCAGAACTCGAGCTTACAACTGTCCCCTGGATTCGTCCTTCTGAATTCTGTCCAAGTTGAGACTAAATGCTGTTAGGAACCATGCCCTGGCCTCCAAGGGTACAGACCACATCCTGCAGTCACCCTTGACTCTCCTCTGTCTCCATCCCCCACCCAATCCTAACTCTCACATCTCCCATGGTCACCACTCTGACCCACCACCTCATCACCTCGGGCTGCGCCTTCTGGACTCTTCCTCCAGCTCTCCCAGCTTCTGCCCTCATCCCTTTTCTTCCTTCTCCATCAGTAGCAAGAAGCATCTCCTGTCTCCCTGCTGTTCAAAAGTCCCCCAATCCCCTGCAGTCTAGTCAATTCCGACTCCTCACAACCCTACAAGGCAGAGCAGAACTGCCCCACAGGGTTTCCAAGACGGTAAATCTTCATGGAAGCAGATTACCTCATCGTTCTCCTGTTGAGCGGCTGGTGGGTTCAAACTGTGGAGCTTTCAGTTAGCAGCCCAATGTTTAATCCACTGTGTCACCAGGATTCATTTAAAAGCCTTCAAAATCATACCAACTGCCATCCAGTTAGTTTTGACTCATGGCAACCCTGTCAAGGGTCTTGAACGCTGTACATTTTTACAGGAGCAGAAAGCCACATCTTTCTTCCACAGAGAGGCTGGTGGATTTGAAATGCCAACCTTGCAGTTCCTAAAATGCAAATCCCTTAGGAGGTTCTAAAGCAGAGGTCTACAAACTCCAACCCACTGCCAGTTTCTGTACAGTCCAAAGGCTAAGAATGGTGTTTTACATTTTTAAATGGTTGGAAAAACAGCAAAAGAAAAATAACATTCTGAGACCCTTGAATATAATAGAAAGTTCATGTTCGATGTTCCATAAATAAAGTTTTATTGACACACAGTCACTCACACTCATTGACAGGACCTTGGTGGCTACTTTCTGCTTCAATGCGCAGAGTTGTGTAGCTGCAACAGAGACCTGTCCTAGAAATATTCAGTGCCTGGACCTTTGCAGAGAAAGTTTACGGACCCCAGCTCTACAGCATCCCCCTCTGCCATGCCCTGAGATCATCTTCATCCGTGTTCCCCAGGGCCCACACTGTTCTGCCTTGCTGGTCTTCTCTCTTCCATTTCTTAAAACACAACTCAGAGGCTTTACCCTTTCTGTTCTGCCTGGAGTGCCCTTCCCACCTCCCCTCACTGCCACCTCTGCCACCGCCCCCCCTCGCCCTCCGTCCCCAGACTGCCAATATAAAAACAAAAACCCCAATTCCTGGTGACCCCATGGGTGCCAGAGTAGAACTGTACTCCACAGGGTTTACTCTGGCTGACTTTTTCAGAAGCAGATCGCTAAGTCTTTCTTCTGAGATGCCTCCAGCTAAACTACCAGTTAGTAAGTTGCAACTCACAGCAACCCTGTAAAGGGTTTCCGAGGCTGTAAATCTTTATGGGAGCAGAAAGCCTCATTTTTCTCCCAAGGAGTTCAAACTGCTGACTTTGTGGATAGCAATCCAGTGCTTATCCTACTGAGTCAC